ACAAAAATCACGACGTTTCGGCCACAACACAAGTAGCCTTCTTCAGGTGAAGGAACAGAACTGTCGGGACGACAGAGCTTATATTTTTTTACCCACGTGATTTTACCGAATAGATCCAAAGGGTATGGATCCTTTTGATTTAAAGCTTTCGTGACTGCAGTAATTCGTATTCTTAGCTCTTTCGGTAAAGTCACGTGGACTTTACCGAAAGAGCTAAGAGTATGGATCCTTGCAGTCACGAAAGCTTCAAATCTAGAATAGGTACCAAGTCTGTGTCTCTGCGTTGTCTCTGCTTGTGTGTCTGCCTTTGTGTCGACGTGTACGTGTCTTGTCTCTCTCCACAGTCCCTGTGGGCATGCCAATCTGATTTTGTGCCCGTTCCCCACGCTGCGGCGGCGTGTTTGTGTGTGGTGTGCCTCCTCCGGTGGGGAAGGCTGCGATGGCTGGGTCATGTAGCCAGCATGCCCAGCCACCGCATGCCGAAACAGCTTTTGTTCGTCCGGATTCAGGGGGCTAAGCGGGCGCGGCACGGGCTAGAGAAGAGATGGAGTGATGTGGTACGGGAGGACGTGGAGCTGAGTGGACTTGCCGATGACTGGTACCAGCGGTGTCAAGATCGACCTCTGTGGAGGAGGCTCGTGAAGGACGCTACTGGGCGGTTGGAGGCAGTCGCCCTCCAACAACAACGGAGGGCGGAGGAGCGACGCTCACAACAACGAGCGGAGCGCCGGGTGGCTAAAGCACAGCAGGTTGGCACAGTAGGGGGCACAGGTGGTGCATCAGCCAGTCATCTCAGTCAGTCGACCCGTGGCACCTGGGTCTGCCCCGTGACCTCCTGCCAGCGGGCGTTCGACACTTCACGTGGCCTCAAGGTGCACATAGCCTGGCACAAGCGTCGTGGTGACATCACCGCCACTTAGTGGCGAATTGTGGTTGTTGTTGGTGTGCCTCTACTTGCTCCAAGTCAGTCCATGCTAATTTGTATCCGTTTATCTCTCAGTCTCCGCCTCTCCCCCCCAACTCCTCTCCCTCTAAGGCTTCGACACAGAAGCACTGTTTCACTGTGTCCCATGTGTGTGTGTGTCTCTCTCTCTCTGTGTGTCTCAGAATCAGAAAGGGTTTTATTCGCCATGAAAGTTCACACCGACACGGAATTTACTTTGGCAGGATGGTGCATACATTCAACATATAGGAATCTAAAATCTTAAATAAGTTTTAAACAAGTCTTACTATAATAAGGTTTAAAAGTCTAACACCAAGGGGCTGAAGTATATAAAATTGAATACATATCGAATATAAAATAGCTTTAAGATATGATTTAAAAATAAAAAAATACAAATAGGTTAACATAGTTAATATCGGCAAGGTGTCATTATGTAGATAAAATGTTAAAATCTGTGTAAGCCCTTGGCCTTGTTTAACAGGCCAGCAGCCGCAGCGTGGGGAACGGGCACAAAATCAGATTGGCATGCCCACAGGGACTGTGGAGAGAGACAAGACAGATACACGTAGACACAAAGGCAGACACACAAGCAGAGACAACGCAGAGACACAGACTTGGTACCTATTCTAGATTTGAAGCTATCGTGACTGCAAGGATCCATACTCTTAGCTCTTTCGGTAAAGTCAACGTGACTTTACCGAAAGAGCTAAGAATACGAATTACTGCAGTCACGAAAGCTTTAAATCAAAAGGATCCATACCCTTTGGTTCTATTCGGTAAAGTCACGTGGGTAAAAAAAAAAATAAGCTCTGTCGTCCTGACAGTTCTGTTCCTTCACCTGAAGAAGGCTACTTGTGTTGTGGCCGAAACGTCGTGATTTTTGTTGTTTTATTTTTTTACCTACGTGACTTTACCGAATAGAACCAAAGAGCATGTCTATTTATGTGTCTGCGATCTGTACACTCTCTTAAATTTGGCAATCCTTAGAGGAACGTAATCAGCCAGGTAGAGTGTTGACTGTTATGTTGGCCTGTTATCTACGCTGTATTGTATTATATTACTCTCCGTGTCTCTTCTTCTCTCTCTACTTATATGTCTGTTTTTGTGTGTCTCAACTTAACCTATAATTTAGCAACCTTTGAAATAACGTAATCAGTCAGACCATGCGTTCATTGTGTTTTGACCGACCCTCTGTGTTGCATTATATTGTTTCCAAATTTTACTAAATCTTGTTCGATTTGATGTGCTTCTCCATCTCTCTTTGTCTCCCCCTACGTGCTAAGGCCTCGGCACGGAGACCCCTGTCTCTCTGTGCTCCGTACGTTGTGTCTCTCTTTGTGTCTCTGTGCTAACTCTCTCTGCTTAGATGTCTATGTATGTGTCTGCGATCTGTACACGCTCTTAAATTTAGCAATCCTTAGAGCAGACATGGGCAAAGTACGGCCAGTTGGGCTTTTTAATCAGGCCCGCTGAACTTGTCCAAATAATATAATTATTATTAAATTAAATTTTACCTTTTTCCTGTAATGCCCCCATTTCCCCATTAGATGGCGCACTTTGACTGGGAGTTACGACATGTTTTTGTATTGTTCATGTTCGTGCAATTTGTTAAATTGCCTCGCAAATAAATGCTTTGCTACCTGTTAAAGGCCAACTCCTTTCATGTGATGATTTTTAACACGTCATTTATACTTAGTTCACACAAACACTCCGTCCATCTCTGTTCCTGGCCCGGCCCCTCTTGTCAAATTTTAGAACCCATTGTGGCCCGCGAGTCAAAACATTTGCCCACCCCTGCCTTAAAGGAACGTAATCAGCCGGGTAGTGTTGACTGTTATGTTGGCCTGTTATCTACGCTGTATTGTATTATATTACTCTCCGTGTCTCTTCTTCTCTCTCTACTTATATGTCTGTTTTTGTGTGTCTCAACTTAACCTATAATTTAGCAACCTTTGAAATAACGTAATCAGCCAGACCATGCGTTCATTGTGTTTTGACCCACCCTCTGTGTCGCATTATATTGTTTCCAAATGTTACTAAATCTTGTTCGATTTGATGTGCTTCTCCATCTCTCTGTGTCCCATACGTTGTGTCTCTCTTTGTGTCTCTGTGCTAACTCCCTCTAATTAGGTGTCTGTATATATTTCTGCGGTTCTGTTTCCTCTCTCTCTTAAATTTAGCTCTTCTGTGCCTGATGATGATTGCTTGCGTTGCAATCGAAACGCAGTACGCTATTATGTAATTTTATTATTGTTTCTTATTTCTACGTGACTTTACCGAAAAAAAACAAAGATTAATAATTTGTATTGTCAATAACAACAATAATAACACAACACCAATAACAACCATAACCACAACAACACCGCCAACAACAATAACAACAGTAACAACAACAACAATGTTATTCTTGGTTCTTTCGGTAAAGTCACGATGAAGGGAAACAATAATATGAATCCCTGCAGTCACGAAAGCTTGAAATCAACACAACAATGTTAACAACAATGACCACAACAACAATAACCATAACCACAACAACAACAATGACCACAACAACAACTACAACAATGACCACAACAACAATAACAACAACCATAACCACAACAATAATAAAACAACAATAAATCAACAACAACAAGAGCTTGCCATTGAATAATAATAATTTCAAGGGTTGCCTAGGGCCCACGTCTTTCTCACTCTGCACTTGCCCCCTCCACTGCTGTGGAAGGCTATCGGGGCATCCTTTGACTTTACATTAATCACTCCACCTTGTTGGAACCCCGCCCACTCCGTGTAAGGCCCCGCCCACCCGCGGGTCGCGAGGCCCCGCCTTCTTGCATACAAAGCCAAATAGGTGGTGCCGAGCCCCGCCCACTTCGTATAAGTCCCCGCCGCCCCCCCCCCCACGTGGTCAACAGCCAATCGGGGGGGAGGGGTTGGGCGGGGATAAGCCTCGTACATGAATCCCCAAGGCCCCGCCCCCCCCGAGAGCCGTGTTACTCCGCCCCTCTGCCAGCAAAGTCAATGGGAGCGTTAGCCCCGCCCAGTTGGTGTTAAGGCTCAGCCCACTGATTACGAGGCCCCGCCCTCTGACCAGCAAAGCCAATGGGGGGGCAGACTGAGGCGTAAATCCCGGGCCCCCACCCCCCTTGGTCGCGAGACCACACCCAACTTGGTCGTTAGACCCCGCCCCCTAATTCGCGAGGCACCGCCCACCGCGTCGCTAGACCCCGCCCCCTGGTCGCGAGGCCCCGCCCACCGACCATCGAGTCCCCGCCCACTAATCGTGGGCGTCTCCCCACTGTCTGTATTGGACGGTGATGATGATGGTGGTGGTGATGGTGATGATGGTGATGATGATGTTGTTAGCGATGTGATGTTACGACAGCGATGGTGGCGATGTTGGTGATGTTGCCTTGAGCCCAGCGAGAGGAGGATTCTTGGTTGTTCATGGTGGTGATGATATGATGGTGATATGATCATGGTGATATGATGATGGTGGCGGTGATGATGATGATATGATGATGGTGATGGTGGCGGTGATGGCTACATCGCGGCTGTGAATCTCGTCACGAGGGAGGAGGAGGATGATGATGGTGATGTGGTGATGATGTCATGGTGATGATGATGTGATGATGATTTGATGGTAATGTGGTGATGATTTGATGTTGATGTGGTGATGTGGTGATGGTGATGATGTTGTGGTGGTGTTGATGTTGATGTGATGATGGTGTTGATGTGATGGTGATTATGGTGTTGATGTGATGATGGTGTTGATGGTGATGATGGTGATGTTGATGTGGTGATGGTGATGATGTTGATGTGATGGTGATGATGGTGATGTTGATGTGGTGATGATGGTGATGTTGATGATGTGGTGATGTTGTTGATGCTGGTGATGTTGTTGATGTGGTGATGTTAGTGATGATGTTGATGTGATGGTGATGTTGGTGATGATGATGGTGATGTTGTTGATGTGGTGATGGTGATGTTAGTGATGATGTTGATGTGATGGTGATGTTGGTAATGTGGTGATGTTAGTGATGATGTTGATGTGATGGTGATGGGGTGATGTTGTTGATGTGGTGATGTTAGTGATGATGTTGATGTGATGGTGATGTTGGTGATGATGGTGATGTTGATGTGATGGTGATGATGCTGGTGATGTTGGTGATGTTGGAGTTGTAGAGGCCGCCTTTGTGTGAGGAGCGACGGCCGCTGGGGGAAGGGTGAGTACAGTACGAGAGTACAGTACGGCATTACTGTACGAGAATACAGTACGAGAATACAGTGCAATACCTCACGTCATTACTGTACGAGAATACAGCACGAGAGTACAGTACGAGGATACAGTACGGCAGCACAGCACTGTACAGCTGTACGATAGTACAGTACGTCGATACAGCACGAGAGTACAGTACGCCGATGCAGTACGATAGTACAGTACGGCAATACTTTACGAAAGTACAGTACGGTGATACAGTACGAGAGTGCAGTACGCCAAATACAGTACGAGAGTACAGTAGGACAGTACAACAACGCAGTACGGCGATACAGTACGAGAGTACAGTGAGACACTACAACAATACAGTACCGCCGTACAGTACGAGAGTACAGTACGAAGGTCCAGTACGGGAGTACAGTACGATACTGCAGTACGCGGGTACAGTGCGAGACTGCTGCTAGAGTACAGTGGAGTGGCTTGTTTGCATCGTCTCAGTCTGTCTCAGTGTATCACTCTGTGTGTGTCTCAGTGTGTCAGTGTGTGTTTCTGTCTGTGTCTCTGTGTCTCTGTCTGTGTCTCTGTGTGTGTCTGTGTGTGTCTCTGTGTGTGTCTCTGTGTGTGTGTCTGTGTGTGTGTCTGTGTGTGTGTCTGTGTGTGTCTGTGTGTGTGTGTCTGTGTGTGTGTGTCTGTGTGTGTCGCTGTGTCTCTGTCTGTGTGTGTGTCTGTCTGTGTGTGTGTCTCAGTCTGTGTCTGTGTGTCTGTGTGTGTGTGTCTCTGTGTCTGTGTCTCTGTCTGTGTGTGTGTCTCTGTGCCTCTGTGTGTGTCTCTGTGTCTCTGTCTGTGTCTCTGTGTCTCTGTCTGTGTCTCTGTGTCTCTGTGTCTTTGTGTCTCTGTGTCTGTGTCTCAGTGTGTCTGTGTGTCTGTGTGTGTCGCTGTGTCTCAGTCTGTGTCTGTGTGTCTGTGTGTGTGTGTCTCTGTGTGTCTCTGTGTGTGTCTGTGTCTCTGTGTCTTTGTGTCTCTGTTTCTCTGTCTGTGTGTGTGTCTCTGTGCCTCTGTGTGTGTCTCTGTGTCTCTGTCTGTGTCTCTGTCTGTGTCTGTGTCTCTGTGTCTTTGTGTCTCTGTGTCTGTGTCTCAGTGTGTCTCTGTCTTTGTCTCAGTCTGTCTCTGTGTCTGTGTCTCTGTCTGTGTCTCTGTCTGTGTCTCTGTCTGTGTCTATGTGTCTGTGTCTCAGTGTGTCTGTCTGTGTCTCTTTGTCTGTGTCTCTGTGTCTCTGTGTCTCTGTCTGTGTCTCTGTGTCTCAGTCTGTGTCTGTGTCTCTGTGTCTCAGTCTGTGTCTGTGTCTCTGTGTCTCAGTCTGTGTCTCTGTGTCTCAGTGTGTCTGTGTCTCTGTCTGTGTCTCTGTGTCTGTGTCTGTCTCAGTGTCTCTGTGTCTCTGTCTCTGTGTCTCTGTCTGTGTCTGTGTCTCAGTGTGTCTGTGTCTCTGTCTGTGTCTCAGTGTGTCTGTGTCTCTGTCTGTGTCTCAGTGTGTCTGTGTCTCTGTCTGTGTCTCTGTCTGTGTCTGCCTCAGTGTCTCTGTCTGTGTCTCTGTCTGTGTCTGCCTCAGTGTCTCTGTGTCTCTGTCTGTGTCTCAGTGTGTCTGTGTCTCTGTCTGTGTCTGTTTCTCTGTCTGTGTCTCTGTCTGTGTCTCTGTCTGTGTCTCTGTGTCTCAGTCTGTATCTCTGTGTCTCTGTGTCTCAGTCTGTCTGTGTCTCTGTCTGTGTCTCAGTCTGTCTGTGTCTCTGTGTCTCTGTTTGTCTGTGTCTCAGTGTGTCTGTGTCTCAGTGTGTCTGTGTCTCACTGTCTCTGTCTGTGTCTCAGTCTGTGTCTCAGTCTGTCTGTGTCTCTGTCTGTGTCTCTGTGTCTCTGTGTTTCTGTGTCTCTGTCTGTGTCTCTGTGTCTCTGTCTGTGTCTCTGTGTCTCTGTCTGTGTCTCTGTCTGTGTCTCTGTCTCTGTCTCTGTCTGTGTCTCTGTCTGTGTCTCTGTGTCTCTGTCTCTGTGTCTATGTCTGTGTCTGTGTGTCTGTGTCTCTGTGTCTGTGTCTCTGTCTCTTTCTCTGTGTCTCTGTGTCTCTGTCTGTGTCTCTGTGTCTCTGTCTGTGTCTCTGCGTCTCTCTGTGTCTCTGTGTCTTTGTCTCGGTGTCTTTGTGTCTCTTTCTCTGTGTCTGTGTCTCTGTCTATGTCTGTGTCTCTGTCTGTGTCTCTGTGTCTGTGTGTCTCAGTCTGTCTGTGTCTCTGTGTCTCAGTGTCTCTGTGTCTCTGTTTGTGTCTGTCTCAGTGTGTCTGTGTCTCAGTGTGTCTGTGTCTCTGTGTCTCTGTCTGTGTCTCAGTCTGTGTCTCAGTGTGTCTGTGTCTCTGTTTGTGTCTGTGTCTCAGTGTGTCTGTGTCTCAATGTGTCTGTGTCTCTGTGTGTCTGTGTCTTTGTGTCTCTCTCTGTGTCTCAGTCTGTGTCTCAGTGTGTCTGTGTCTCTGTCTGTGTCTCAGTGTGTCTGTGTCTCTGTCTGTGTCTCTGTCTGTGTCTCTGTCTGTGTCTCTGTCTGTCTGTGTCTCTGTCTGTGTCTCTGTCTGTGTCTCAGTGTGTCTGTGTCTCTGTGTCTCTGTCTGTGTCTCTGTGTTTCTTGGTCTGTGTCTCTGGGTCTGTGTCTCTGTCTGTGTCTCTGTGTCTCTGTCTGTGTCTGTGTCTCTGTCTGTGTCTCTGTGTCTTTGTGTCTCTTTCTCTGTGTCTGTGTCTATGTCTGTGTCTCTGTGTCTGTGTCTCTGTGTCTGTGTCTCTTTCTCTGTGTCTCTGTCTGTGTCTCTGTGTCTCTGTCTGTGTCTCTGTGTCTCTGTGTCTCTCTGTGTCTCTGTCTGTGTCTCGGTGTCTTTGTGTCTCTTTCTCTGTGTCTCTGTGTCTCTGTCTGTGTCTATGTCTGTGTCTCTGTGTCTCTGTCTGTGTCTCTGTGTCTCTGTGTCTCTTTCTCTGTGTCTGTGTCTCTGTGTCTCTGTGTCTCAGTCTGTGTCTCAGTCTGTGTCTCTGTCTGTGTCTCAGTCTGTGTCTCAGTCTGTGTCTCTGTCTGTGTCTCTGTGTCTCAGTCTGTGTCTCAGTCTGTGTCTCAGTCTGTGTCTCTTGGTCTCTGTCTCTTGGTCTCTGTCTGTGTCTCTGTGTCTGTGTCTCTGTGTCTCTGTCTGTGTCTCTGTGTCTCTGTCTGTGTCTCTGTGTCTCTGTCTGTGTCTCTGTCTGTGTCTCTGTCTGTGTCTCTGTCTGTGTCTCTTGGTATCTGTCTCTTGGTCTCTGTCTGTGTCTCTGTGTCTCTGTCTGTGTCTCTGTGTCTCTGTCTGTGTCTCTGTCTGTGTCTCTTGGTCTCTGTCTCTTGGTCTCTGTCTGTGTCTCTCTGTGTTTCTGTGTCTCTGTCTGAGTCTCTGTGTCTCTGTCTGTGTCTCTGTGTCTCTGTCTGTGTCTCTGTCTGTGTCTCTGTGTCTCTGTCTGTGTCTCTGTCTGTGTCTCTTGGTCTATGTGTCTTGGTCTCTGTCTGTGTCTCTCTGTGTTTCTGTGTCTCTGTCTGTGTCTCTATGTCTCTCAGTCTGTGTGTCTCAGTCTGTGTCTCTCATTCTGTGTCTCTCAGTCTGTGTCTCTCAGTCTGTGTCTCTCAGTCTGTGTGTCTCTGTCTGTGTGTCTCTGTCTGTCTCTGTGTCTCAGTCTGTGTCTCAGTCTGTGTCTCAGTCTGTGTCTCTGTCTCTGTGTCTCAGTCTGTGTCTCAGTCTGTGTCTCTGTGTCTCTGTCTGTGTCTCTGTGTCCCTGTGTCACAGTCTGTGTCTCTGTGTCTCTGTCTGTGTCTCGGGCTGTCTGTGTCTCAGTCTGGAACTGGACCCATCATGCCTCCCTTCAAGGGGGGGGGGGGTCGATAAAACGACGATGAACACTCTTGTTGTTGTTGTTGTGTTGTTGTTGTGTTGTTGTGTTGTTGTTGTGTTGTTGTTGTGTTGTTGTGTTGTTGTTGTTGTGTTGTTGTTGTGTTGTTGTGTTGTTGTTGTGTTGTTGTTGTTGTGTTGTTGTTGTGTTGTTGTTGTTGTGTTGTTGTTGTTGTGTTGTTGTTGTTGTGTTGTTGTTGTTGTGTTGTGTTGTTGTTGCTGTGTTGTTGTTGTTGTGTTGTTGTGTCGTATTGTGTCGTGTTGTTGTGACACATATACAGACACACACACAGACACACACACATACACACACACAGACACACACACACAGACACACAGACATACAGACACACACACACAACGGCTGGTGCAAACTCGATGATGACGATGATGACGATCATGATGATGACGATGATGACGATTATGATGATGATGACGATCACGACGACGACGCCTTCATTTTCACCTTCGCCACCTCCCCCTCCCCGTTGAAGTGTCTCCTCTTCGCAGCGAGGCTGCGGTGCTGCCGGCGACGGCCCCGGCGGCGGCGGCGGCGGCGTGCACCCGGCGGTCAGCGGGAGGCGAGAGAATCGCCGGCACGGCCCCCACACCACCACCACCACAACCACAACCACCGCCACAACCACCACCACAATCACCGAGAGAGGACCCCCTCGGAATCATGGCGAGCAGCCTGCTGCAGGGCAAGGCCTTCTACTGCCGCGACTGGGCCTTCCAGAAGCTGCAGCACTACCTGGACGGCCGCGGCCGCGGCGGCGACGGCGGCGGCGACGGCGACGCCGGCGGCGGCGGCGGCGGCGGCGCCGTCGCCGGGGCGCTGGTGCTCGGCGGGCCCGGCAGCGGCAAGACGGCGCTCTGCTCCGAGCTGGTGTGGCCCACGTCGGCCGCCGTGCGCCAGAGGGGCCTGCACGAGCGTGTGCTGGCCTACCACTTCTGTCAGGTGCGGTGGTGGTGGTGGTGGTGGCGGTGGTGGTGGCGGTGGTGGTAGTGGCGGTGGTGGTGGTGATGGTGGTGGCGGTGGTGGTGGTGGTGGTGGTGGCGGTGGTGGTGGTGGTGGCGGCGGTGGTGGTGGTGGTGGTGGTGGCGGTGGTGGTGGTGGTGGTGGTGGTGGCGGTGGTGGTGATGGTGGTGGTGGTGGTGGTGATGGTGGTGGTGGTGGTGGTGGCGGTGGTGGTGGCGGTGGTGGTGGCGGTGATGGTGGTGGTGGTGGTAGTGGTGGGGGTGGTGGTGGTGGTGGTGGTGGCGGTGGTGGTGATGGTGGTGGTGATGGTGGTGGTGATGGTAGTGGTGGTGGTGGTGGTGATGGGGGTGGTGGTGGTGGTGGTGATGGTGGTGGTGGTGGTGGCGGCGGTGGCGGTTGTGGTGGTGGTGGATGTGGTGGGGGTGGTGGTGGTGCCGGTGGCGGTTGATGACGGTGGTGGTGGTAGCGGTGGTGGAAGTGGTGCCAGTGGTGGTAATGGTGGCGGCGGTGCTGATGGTGACAGTGGTGGTAACGGTAACGGTGGCGGTGCTGATGGTGACAGTGGTGGTAACGGTAACGGTAACGGTGGCGGTGCTGATGGTGACAGTGGTGGTAACGGCAACGGTGGCGGTGCTGATGGTGACAGTGGTGGTAACGGTAACGGTGGCGGTGCTGATGGTGCCAGTGGTGGTAACGGCAACGGTGGCGGTGGTGCTGATGGTGACAGTGGTGGTGGTAATTCGATCGCGACGCAAGCGGCCGTCCATCGGGAGGGAGATAAAATAAATAAAATTTACGGGCGCTTTGCTGTCGCGACCGAAACGCCGGGAGTCGCTTTGTTGTTACGGAGTAAAAAACCTCGTGGATTGCGAGCGACTGGGCCTGCGGACGTTCCCGCAGGACGAGCTGAACACGTTTTATTTTTTTAAAATTCAAACGCAAGATATCAACTTGATGAACGGGCCGGGGTCACGTGATCACAGCTGATACGCGAGCGCTTTGACGTACGAGTTCCCGGAAGGAATTGTTGCTCGCAATCCCAAGGTTTTTACTGTACGTATCATCATTAGACCTCCTTTGCCAGTACCAGAATGTAGCGATGATAATAATAATAATAAGAGGGGTTTTTTCCCCCTTTTTTTTCTGGCACCAAAACTGAAACCGGATTCACGTCGCTGCATTAACCACAATACCTGCGGTCAAAATGCAAACAAAAAAACATACACCACGATAATATACGTGGCGTTGTCCTTTGGTGTGGACCAATCGTTTTCAAGGACAATGCATCATCATATTATCATAGTGTTTGTGTTTTTTTGTTGGCATTTTGTGGTGAATGCAGTAAACATGAATCCTCGTAAAAAAAAGGTTTCAGTTTTGTTACCAGAAAAATGGGGAAACCCTGTTATTATTATTATATTTTGGTACTGGCAAAGGAGCTCTATTGATGATGCAGATGCTCACTCCGAGCCCTCATTACCACTTTGATAGCGGCATTGTCTATGAGCTGTGTGACGCCTTTTGGCGTCATCTGGTCGAGCACCAATTGGGTCGAGGCTCAACAAGAAAGCCGTGCCTTGGTGTGGACCAATCGGTTTCAAGGACAATGCCACATATATTATCATACGGGGTTTTTTGTTTGCATTTTGTGGTGAATAGAGTAAACATGAATCCTTGTAAAAAAGGTTTCAGTTTTGTTACCAGAAAAAAGGGGAAACCCTATTATTACATTATTATATTTTGGTACTGGCAAAGGAGCTCTATTGATGATGCAGATGCTCACCCCGAGCCCTCATTACTACTTTGATAGCGGCATTGTCTTTGAGCTGTGTGACGCGTTTTGGCGTCGTCTGGTCGAGCACCAATTGGGTCGAGGCTCAACAAGAAAGCCGTCCCTTGGTGTGGACCAATCGGTTTCAAGGACAATGCCACATATATTATCATAGTATGTGTTTTTTGTTTGCATTTTGTGGTGAATGCAGTAAACATGAATCCTTGTAAAAAAAGGTTTCAGTTTTGTTACCAGAAAAAAGGGGAAACCCTATTATTACATTATTATATTTTGGTACTGGCAAAGGAGCTCTATTGATGATGCAGATGCTCACCCCGAGCCCTCATTACTACTTTGATAGCGGCGTTGTCTTTGAGCTGTGTGATGCGTTTTGGCGTCGTCTGGTCGAGCACCAATTGGGTCGAGGCTCAACAAGAAAGCCGTCCCTTGGTGTGGACCAATCGGTGTCAAGGACAATGCATCATATATTATCATATGGGGTTTTTTGCTTGCATTTTGACCGCAGGTATTGTGGTTAATGCGGTAAACATGAATCCTCGTTAAAAAAAGGTTTCAGTTTCGTTGCCAGAAAAAAGGGGAAAAACCCTGTTATTACTGTACGTAGTTTTGTTATTTTTTTGTCCGCTTGAACCCGCCTACGTGACTTTGCCAAAACACCCCGAGAATCTGGTGGTTCAGGCTCGCGCCGTCTGAGTATTTGGCAGACCGGGGCCGGTGAAAGTGGAGATCTAGCCCTGCTCACGTTTGTCTGTTCTCCCTGCCAACGTCGCTACCGTCATCGTCACCACCGTCATCACCAACACCACCGTCATCACCGACACCACCGTCATCACCGACACCACCGTCATCACCGACACCACCTTCATCACCAACACCACCGTCATCACCAACACCACCGTCATCACCGACACCACCGTCATCACCGACACCACCGTCATCGTCACCACCGTCATCACCGACACCACCGTCATCACCGACACCACCGTCATCACCGTCATCACCGACACCACCGTCATCACCGACACCACCGTCATCACCGACACCACCGTCATCACCGACACCACCGTCATCACCAACACCACCGTCATCACCAACACCACCGTCATCACCGACACCATCGTCACCAACACCACCGTCATCACCGACACCACCGTCATCACCGACACCACCGTCATCACCAACACCACCATCACCACCAACACCACCGTCATCACCAACACCACCGTCATCACCAACACCACCGTCATCACCGACACCACCGTCATCATCGTCACCACCGTCATCACCGACACCACCGTCATAGTCATCGCCACCGCCGCCGCCATCGCCACCACCACGACCATCGCCACCACAACCCCACCACCATCGTCTCCACCACAACCACCACCACCGTCCCCACCACCACCGTTCTAACCCCCACCACCCCACCACCACCACCCCCGTCTTCACCACCACTACCACCCCACCACCACCGTCTTCACCACCACCACCACCCCACCACCACCGTCTTCACCACCACCACCACCACCACCCCACCACCACCACCACCCCACCACCACCACCACCACCACCCCACTACCACCACCACCCCACCACCACCACCCCACTACCACCACCACCGTGTTCACCACCACCACCGTGTTCACCACCGTGCTCCCCTCCCCGTGTTTGTGTGTGTGCCAGGCGTGTTCGCTGCCCGCCTCCCGCGTCTCAGCGGGTCGCTTCGTGCGCTCCCTCGTGGCCCAGCTGAGCGTCGCCCCCGGGCCGCCGCCGCCGCCGCCGCCGTCGGCCGCCGGCGCCGCCTCCGGGCCGCCGCCGCCGGCGCCGGCGCCGCCGCCGCTGTCGGCCGCCAGCGCCGCCGTCTACGCGGCGGCGCTGGCGGCGCCGGCGGCGCGGGCCGCCCTGCGGCCGGGGCAGGCCGAGCGCGACCCTGACGAGGCCTTCCGCAGGTGAGGCCTCCGCTACTACGCCGGCTACCGCCAATACAACTATTAACACTATTACTACTAATACTATTACTACTACCACTAACACTACTACAAATACTATTACTACTAATACTATTAACACTATTACTAATACTATTACTAATACTACTAATACTATTACTACTAATAATACTATTACTACTAATACTATTACTACTACCACTAACACTACTACTAATACTATTACTACTACTATTACTACTACTACTAATACTATTAACACTACTAATACTACTACTACTTCTATAATACTATTACTACTACTATTACTACTACTACTAATACTATTAACACTACTAATACTATTAACACTACTAATACTACTACTACTAATACTATTAACACTACTAATACTACTACTACTAATACTATTAACACTATTACTAATACTATTACTACTAATAATATTACTACTAATACTATTACTACTAATACTACTACTACTACCACTAACACTACTACTACCACTAACACTACTACTACGCCGGCTACCGCCAATACAACTATTAACACTATTACTACTACTAATACTATTACTACTAATACTATTAACACTACTAATACTATTACTACTAATACTATTACTACTAATACTATTACTACTAATACTACTACCACTAACACTACTACTACCACTAACACTACTACTACGCCATCTACCGCCAATACAACTATTAACACTATTACTACTACTACTAATACTATTAACACTACTAATACTACTACTACTAATACTATTAACACTACTAATACTACTACTACTACAACTACTACTACCACTAACACTACTACTACCACTAACACTACTACTACGCCGGCTACCGCCAATACAACTATTAACACTATTACTAATACTATTACTACTACTACTATTACTACTAATACTACTACTACAACTACTACCACCACTAACACTACTACTACGCCATCTACCGCCAATACAACTATTAACACTATTACTACTACTAATACTATTAACACTATTACTAATACTATTACTACTAATACTATTACTACTAATACTATTACTACTAATACTATTACTACTACAACTACTACTACCACTAACACTACTACTACGCCGGCTACCGCCAATACAACTATTAACACTATTACTACTACTAATACTATTAACACTACTAATACTACTACTACTAATACTACTACTACCACTAACACTACTACTACCACTAACACTACTACTACGCCGGCTACCGCCAATACAACTATTAACACTATTACTACTACTACTAATACTACAACTACTACCACCACTAACACTACTACTAACACTAACACTACTACTACGCCGGCTACCGCCAATACAACTATTAACACTATTACTACTACTAATACTATTAACACTATTACTAATACTATTACTACTAATACTATTACTACTAATACTATTACTACTAATAATATTACTACTAATACTACTACTAACACTACAACTACCACTAACACTACTACTACGCCGGCTACCGCCAATACAACTATTAACACTATTACTACTACTAATACTATTAACACTACTAATACTACTAATACTATTACTACTAATACTATTACTACTAATACTACTACTACTACAACTACTACCACCACTAACACTACTACTACGCCGGCTACCGCCAATACAACTATTAACACTATTACTACTACTAATACTACTACTACTATTACTACTAATACTACTACTACTACCACTAACACTACTACTATCACTAACACTACTACTAACACTAACACTACTACTACGCCAGCTACCGCCAATACAACTATTAACACTATTACTACTACTAATACTATTAACACTACTAATACTACTACTACTACTACCACTAACACTACTACTATTACTAACACTACTATTACTACTACTAACACTACTACTACGCCGGCTATCGCCAATACAACTACTGCTATCACTTCTACTACTAACACTACTACTACAACTACTAACACTACTAACACTATTACTAACACTACTACTACGCCCGCTACCGCCAATACAACTACTACTACAACTACTACTAACACTACTACTACAATTAACACTACTACTAACACTACTACTACAACTACTATTAACATTACTATTACTACCACTACTACTACAACTAACACTACTACTACGCCGGCTACCCCCAATACAACTACAACTATCACTACTACTATTAACACTACTACTACAACTACTATTACTATTACTAACACTACTACTAACACTACTACAACTACTATTACTACTACGCCGGCTACCGCTACTACAACCACTACTACAACTACTATTAACACTACTAACACTACTACTACTAACACTACTACTACGCCGGCTACCGCTACTACAACCACTACTACAACTACTATTAACACTACCATTACTACTACTACTAACACTACTACTATGCCGGCTACCGCCACTACAACTACTATTAACACTACTATTACTACTACTACTATTACTACTAATACTGTTACTAACACTACTATTACTACTAATACTACTACTATTACTAACACTACTACTACACTACTACTACCACTACAACTAACACTATTACTACTACTACCACTACTACTAACACTACTACTACGCCCGCTACCGCCACTACAACTACTGCTACGACTACCACTACTATTACTACTACTACTAACACTACTACTATTACTAACACTACTACTACAACTAACACTACTACTACACCCGCTACCGCCAATACAACTACTACTACAACTATCACTACTACTAACACTGTTAACACTACTATTACTATTACTACGACTACTACTACTAACACTGTTACTACAACTACAACTAATACTAACACTACAACTAACACTACTACTACGCCCGCTACCACCACTACAACTACTGCTACGACTACCACTACTATTACTAACACTACTATTACTACTACTAACACTACTATTACTACTACTAACACTACTATTACTAACACTACTATTACTAACACTACTATTACAACTATTACTAACACTACTACTATTACTACTAACACTACTATTACTACTACTAACACTACTACTACACCCGCTACCGCTACTACAACTACTGCTACGACTACCACTACTATTACTACAACTACTACTTCCACTACTACTACCACTACTACTACCACTACTATTACTAACACTACTATTACTAACACTACTACTATTACTACAACTACTACTTCCACTACTACTACCTCTACTACTACGCCCGCTACCGCCACTACAACTACTGCTACAACTACCACTACTACTAACACTACTACTAACACTAACACTACTACTACGCCGGCTACCGCCAATACAACTACTGCTACGACTACAACGACTATTAACACTATTACTAACACTATTATTACTACTATTACTACAACTACTACTACAACTAACACTACTACTACGCCGGCTACTGCTACTACAACTACTACTACGACTACTATTAACACTATTAACACTACTACTATTACTACTAATACTACTACTATTACTACAACTACCACTACTACTAAGACTACTACTACTATTACTACTAATACTACTACTAACACTACTACTACAACTACTATTACTACAACTACCACTACTACTACCACTACTACTAACACTACTACTACAACTAATACTACTACTAACACTACTACTACAACTACTATTACTACAACTACCACTACTACTAACACTACTACTAACACTACTACTAATACTAACACTACTACTACAACTACTATTACTACTACTAAGACTACTACTACCACTACTACTACGCCCGCTACCACTACTACAACTACTGCTACGACTACAACGACTATTAACACTACTACTAACACTAACACTACTACTACCACTACTACTATTACTACTACTATTACTAACACTACTATTGCTACTACAACTACTACTACAACTACTACTACCACTACTACAACACTACTACTACGCCGGCTACCGCTACTACAACTCCTGCTACGACTACTATTACTACTACTATTATTAACACTACTATTACTACTACTATTACTACTACTACTAACACTACTACTACAACTCACACTACTACTACAACTCCTGTCACTAACACTACTATTACTAACACTACTACTATTACTACTAATACTGCTTCTAGCACTACTACTACCACTACTACTATTACTAACACTACTATTACTACAACTACTACTACCACTGCTACTGCCACTACTATTACCACTACTACTATTACTACTACTACCACTACTACCACTACTACTACCACTACTACTACGCCTGCTACCGCCACTACAGCTACTGCTACGACTACAACTACTATTACTACTACTACAACTACTATTACTACTACAACTACTGTAACTAACACTATTAACACTACTATTACTAACACTACTACTACAAACACTACTATTACCACCACTACTACTACAACTACTATTACTACTACAACTACTGTAACTAACACTATTAACACTACTATTACTAACACTACTACAAACACTACTATTACCACCACTACTACTACAACTACTATTACTACTACAACTACTGTAACTAACACTATTAACACTACTAGTACTAACACTACTACTACTAACACTACTACTACAAACACTACTATTACTACCACTACTACTACAACTACTATTACTACTACAACTACTGTAACTAACACTATTAACACTACTATTACTAACACTACTACTACTAACACTACTACTACAAACACTACTATTACTACCACTACTACTACAACTACTATTACTACTACAACTACTGTAACTAACACTATTAACACTAATATTACTAACACTACTACTACTAACACTACTACTACAAACACTACTATTACTACCACTACTACTACAACTACTATTACTACAACTACTATTACTACAACTACTATTACTACTAATACTACTAACACTACTACTACCACTACTACTAACACTACTATTACTACTACTACTACCACTACTACTACAACTACTCTTACAACTACAACATCTGTTACTAACACTATTAACACTACTATTGCTAACACTACTACAACTACTGTTTCTACAACTACTACTAACACTACTATTACTACTACTCCTATTAATACCAATACTACTACTCCAACTACTGCTACAACTACCACTACTACTAACACTACTACTACTAACACTACTACTACTAACACTACTACAACTACTGTTACAACTACTGTTACAACTACCACTACTACTAACACTACTATTACTAACACTACTACTACAACTACAATTACAACAACAATTACTGTTTCTAACACTACTAACACTACTATTACTAACACTACTACTTCAACTACTCTTACAACTGCAACTACTGTTACTAACACTACTAACACTACCATTACTAACACTACTATTACTAACACTAGTAACACTTCTACTACTACCACTCCTACTACCACTACTACCACTACTACTACCACTACTACTCCTACCACTACTACTACCACTACTACTCCTACCACTACTACCACTACTACTACTACACCACCAATACCGCTACTACCAATACCACCACTACCACCGCCACCACCACTATCACCAACACCACTACCACCACCACCACCACCACCGCCACAACACAGCCACAACCCTGACCTCGCCCCCCCCCACCCCCCCTCCCCCCTTGCCCCCCCTCCCCCAGGGGGGTGCTGCTGCCCCTGCTGAGCATGGAGCCCCCACCCCACCCCCTGCTGCTCGTCGTGGACTCCGTGGACGAGGGGGGGAGCCTAGCGGTGCCGGACGACGCGGGGGGAGGTGGCGGTTGTGGGGGCGGTTGTGGCGGTTGTGGGGGCGGTTGCGGCGGTTGTGGGGGCGGCCACGCGGGGGAGCGGCAGGCTGAGGGGGCGGCGACCGAGGCGCAGGCGAGCGCTCCCATTGGCCGCAGCCGCGGCGTGGCCGAGCTGCTGGCCAATCAGCAGGAGCTGCTGCCCCCGTGGCTGCTGCTGGTGATCACGGCGCGCAAGCACAGCCGGCACGTCACACGCCTCTTCAGCGGTCAGTTGGGGGGGGGGGGGGGGGCGCTGTAGCGGTCACACAGCCACAGTGACCACAGTCACACAGCCACAGTCACACAGTCACACAGCCACAGTGACCACAGTCACACAGCCACAGTGACCACAGTCACACAGTCACAGTGACCACAGTCACACAGCCACAGTCACACAGTCACACAGCCACAGTCACACAGTCACAGTCACACAGTCACACAGCCACAGTCACACAGTCACACAGCCGGCACGTCACACGCCTCTTCAGCGGTCAGTTGGGGGGGGGGGGGGGGCGCTGTAGCGGTCACACAGCCACAGTCACACAGTCACACAGTCACAGTCACACAGTCACACAGCCACAGTGACCACAGTCACACAGCCACAGTGACCACAGTCACACAGCCACAGTGACCACAGTCACACAGCCACAGTCACACACTCACACAGTCACACAGCCACAGTGACCACAGTCACACAGCCACAGTGACCACAGTCACACAGTCACAGTCACACACTCACACAGTCACACAGCCACAGTGACCACAGTCACACAGCCACAGTGACCACAGTCACACAGCCACAGTGACCACAGTCACACAGCCACAGTCACAGTGACACAGTCACACAGCCGGCACGTCACACGCCTCTTCAGCGGTCAGTTGGGGGTGGGGGGCGCTGTAGCGGTCACACAGCCACAGTCACACAGCCACAGTGACCACAGTCACAGTCACACAGTCACACAGCCGGCACGTCACACGCCTCTTCAGCGGTCAGTTGGGGGGGGCGCTGTAGCGGTCACACAGCCACAGTCACACAGTCACACAGCCACAGTCACACAGTCACACAGCCACACAGTCACACAGCCACAGTCACACAGTCACACAGCCACAGTCACACAGTCACACAGCCACAGTCACAAAGTCACACAGTCACAGTCACACAGTCACACAGCCACAGTCACACAGTCACACAGTCACAGTCGCACACTCACACAGTCACACAGCCACAGTGACCACAGTCACACAGTCACAGTCACACAACCGGCACGTCACACGCCTCTTCAGCGGTCAGTTGGGGGGGGGGGTGCTGTAGCGGTCACACAGCCACAGTCACACAGTCACACAGCCACAGTGACCACAGTCACAGTGACCACAGTCACACAGTCACACAGCCACAGTCACAGTGACCACAGTCACACAGCCGTCACGTCACACGGTCACACGGTCACAGTCACACAGTCACAGTCACACAGCCACACAGTCACACAGCCACAGTCACACAGTCACACAGCCACAGTCACAGTGACCACAGTCACACAGCCGTCACGTCACACGGTCACACGGTCACAGTCACACAGTCACAGTCACACAGTCACAGTCACACAGTCACAGTCACACAGCCACACAGTCACACAGCCACAGTCACACAGTCACACAGCCACAGTCACACAGCCACACAGTCACACAGTCACAGCCACACAGTCACAGTCACACAGCCGGCACGTCACACGCCTCTTCAGCGGTCAGTTGGGGGGGGGGGGGGGGGGGGGCGCTGTAGCGGTCACACGGTCACACAGTCTCAGTGACCACAGTCACACAGCCACAGTCACACAGCCACAGTCACACAGCCACACAGCCACACAGTCACAGCCACACAGTCACAGTCACACAGTCACACAGCCGGCACGTCACACGCCTCTTCAGCGGTCAGTTGGGGGGGGCGCGCTGTAGCGGTCACACAGCCACAGTGACCACAGTCACACAGCCACAGTGACCACAGTCACACAGTCTCACAGTCACACAGTCACACAGCCACAGTCACACAGTCACACAGCCACAGTGACCACAGTCACACAGCCACAGTCACACAGCCACAGTCACAGTGACCACAGTCACACAGCCGTCACGTCACACGGTCACACGGTCACAGTCACACAGTCACAGTCACACAGTCACACAGCCACAGTCACACAGCCACAGTCACACAGCCACAGTCACACAGTCACACAGCCACAGTGACCACAGTCACACAGCCACACAGTCATACAGTCACAGTGACCACAGTCATACAGTCACAGTCACACAGTCACAGTCACACAGTCTCACAGTCACACAGCCACAGCCACAGTCACACAGCCACACAGTCACACAGTCACAGCCACACAGTCACAGTCACACAGTCACACAGCCGGCACGTCACACGCCTTTTCAGCGGTCAGTTGGGGGGGGGGGGGGGGGGGGGGGGCGCTGTAGCGGTCACACAGTCACACAGTCACAGCCACACAGTCACAGTCACACAGTCACACAGCCGGCACGTCACACGCCTCTTTAGCGGTCAGTTGGGGGGGGGGGGGGCGCTGTAGCGGTCACACAGCCACAGTCACACAGTCACACAGCCACAGTGACCACAGTCACACAGCCACAGTCACACAGTCACACAGCCACAGTCTCAGTGACCACATTCACACAGCCGGCACGTCACACAGCCACAGTCACGCAGCCACAGTCACACAGCCACACAGTCACACAGTCACAGCCACACAGTCACACAGTCACAGCCACACAGTCACAGTCACACAGTCACACAGCCGGCACGTCACGCGCCTCTTTAGCGGTCAGTTGGGGAGGGGGGGGGCGCTGTAGCAGTCACACAGCCATAGTCACACAGTCACACAGCCACAGTGACCACAGTCACACAGCCACAGTCACACAGCCACAGTCACAGTGACCACAGTCACACAGCCGTCACGTCACACGGTCACACGGTCAGTCACACAGTCACAGTCACACAGTCACACAGTCACAGTCACACAGTCACACAGCCACAGTCACACAGTCACACAGCCACAGTCACACAGCCACAGTCACACAGTCACACAGCCACAGTCACACAGCCACAGTCACACAGTCACACAGCCACAGTGACCACAGTCACACAGCCACACAGTCATACAGTCACAGTGACCACAGTCATACAGTCACAGCCACACAGTCACAGTCACACAGTCACACAGCCACAGTCACAGTGACCACAGTCACACAGTCACACAGCCACAGTCACACAGTCTCAGTGACCACAGTCACACAGCCGGCACGTCACACAGCCACAGTCACACAGCCACAGTCACACAGCCACACAGTCACACAGTCACAGCCACACAGTCACAGTCACACAGTCACACAGCCACAGTGAGCACAGTCACACAGCCACAGTCACACAGCCACAGTCACAGTGACCACAGTCACACAGCCGTCACGTCACACGGTCACACGGTCACAGTCACACAGTCACAGTCACACAGTCACAGTCACACAGTCACAGTCACACAGTCACACAGCCACAGTCACACAGCCACAGTCACACAGCCACAGTCACACAGTCACACAGCCACAGTGACCACAGTCACACAGCCACACAGTCATACAGTCACAGTGACCACAGTCATACAGTCACAGCCACACAGTCACAGTCACACAGTCACACAGCCGGCACGTCACACGCCTCTTCAGCGGTCAGTTGGGGGGGGGGGCGCTGTAGCGGTCACACAGTCACACAGTCTCAGTGACCACAGTCACACAGCCGGCACGTCACACAGCCACAGTCACACAGCCACAGTCACACAGCCACACAGTCACACAGTCACAGCCACACAGTCACAGTCACACAGTCACACAGCCGGCACGTCACACGCCTCTTTAGCGGTCAGTTGGGGGGGGGCGCTGTAGCGGTCACACAGCCACAGTCACACAGTCACACAACCACAGTGACCACAGTCACACAGCCACAGTCACACAGTCACACAGCCACAGTCTCAGTGACCACAGTCACACAGCCGGCACGTCACACAGCCACAGTCACACAGCCACAGTCACACAGCCACACAGTCACACAGTCACAGCCACACAGTCACACAGTCACAGCCACACAGTCACAGTCACACAGTCACACAGCCGGCACGTCACACGCCTCTTTAGCGGTCAGTTGGGGGGGGGGGCGCTGTAGCGGTCACACAGCCACAGTCACACAGTCACACAGCCACAGTGACCACAGTCACACAGCCACAGTCACACAGCCACAGCCACAGTGACCACAGTCACACAGCCGTCACGTCACACGGTCACACGGTCAGTCACACAGTCACAGTCACACAGTCACAGTCACACAGTCACACAGCCACAGTCACACAGTCACACAGCCACAGTCACACAGCCACAGTCACACAGCCACAGTCACACAGTCACACAGCCACAGTCACACAGCCACAGTCACACAGCCACAGTCACACAGTCACACAGCCACAGTGACCACAGTCACACAGCCACACAGTCATACAGTCACAGTGACCACAGTCATACAGTCACAGTCACACAGTCACAGTCACACAGTCTCACAGTCACACAGCCACAGCCACAGTCACACAGCCACACAGTCACACAGTCACAGCCACACAGTCACAGTCACACAGTCACACAGCCGGCACGTCACACGCCTCTTCAGCGGTCAGTTGGGGGGGGGGGGGCGCTGTAGCGGTCACACAGTCACACAGTCTCAGTGACCACAGTCACACAGCCGGCACGTCACACAGCCACAGTCACACAGTCACAGTCACACAGTCACACAGCCGGCACGTCACACGCCTCTTCAGCGGTCAGTTGGGGGGGGGGGGGGGGGGGCGCTGTAGCGGTCACACAGTCACACAGTCTCAGTGACCACAGTCACACAGCCACACAGTCACACAGTCACAGCCACACAGTCACAGTCACACAGTCACACAGCCGGCACGTCACACGCCTCTTTAGCGGTCAGTTGGGGGGGGGGGGGGCGCTGTAGCGGTCACACAGCCACAGTCACACAGTCACACAGCCACAGTGACCACAGTCACAAAGCCACAGTCACACAGCCACAGTCACACAGTCACACAGCCACAGTCACAGTGACCACAGTCACACAGCCGTCACGTCACACAGCCACAGTCACACAGCCACAGTCACACAGTCACACAGTCTC